GAAAGAGGGTTGATTCAACTTTATTATATAAGTTTCTGATTACGACGCAATGCTTTAGGTCTTTAGCCAGCATCCTGGTCCTAACTAGACGAGTGGGCAGAAAGCATGTAGCAATCACTATCCTCAAGAATATCACAAATATTATTGGTTGTCCATCCCATGAACTTCTGAAGATATTCTATTCTCTCATTAAAAAGCATAAAGATAAACAGTGAATTAGTACAAAATATTTAAGAAAATAAGTAACATTACATATAACTTAACACGCTATTACAAATGGTTTTCTTTTGGAAAAGTGGATATTATACAAATTTTTAAAGTGGACGTTTGAAAGAAAACTTTATGTGTGTCATAGATATATATTAGTTTTTTCTACTTTTTTCTCTCTACTTTTGTTTTTTGGTTTTATATGATTTTGTATAGAGATATTAACAAATTAAAATGATTGTGCCGTCTCGCAGAAGACAAATTTGGTTACAGCCTTACTGTTTTCATGTTGGTTCAATTCACATAGAACATCTTTAATTTATAATGCATTATCCATGCATATATGTATTTAGTGGAAGAAATATTAAAAACAAACAAAATCTCAATTAAGGAATTGAAAATGGATTGGATCTTGATTATGTATCATGTGATGTGATAGTTAGAGTAAAACAGTTTATTAATAAGTTACTTATACTCGTGTATACTATACTATGTTTTAAACATCTTGTATTCTTGTCTTAACTTTTTCCTTTTGTTTACAAGATGCTTATGAGCTAACGTTCATAGTTATGTTTTCTGCTCGTTTTCATCAATTCTTTCGCAATCTATTCACTATAATAATTCAGATGAACATATTTAATAATTAAATTATTTAGGAAAGGACACAAATATGATTTTAGAACGTGTGGAATAAAAAAAATCATGAAAAGTTTGAAATATTTTGTGGCAAATATATCGAGATATGGTTGGTTCGACCGACTGGTATCTAATCTACTGCTTCAGTTATGTCGGATCTAAAATTTGACTGTAACTATTCAGTAAAGGACACAATATGATTTTTAAAACGTGTGTATTAAAAACAAATCATGAAAAATTTTGAAATAATTTGTGGCAAATATATCGAGATATGGTTGGTTCGACCGAACAATACTTCTACAGGCAAACAATCTGAAGAAAAAAGACAATAATCTGAAGAAAGAAGACAATAAATGATAAACAACCGGAAGCTAGATTTACGGGGTAAAGACAAGAAAACAATACTTCTACAGAAAGCTTCAATTATTAGGACTGAGCAATTGGGATCCCAATCGGTTTTCGATTCGGGTTCATTCGTATTTCGGGTTTTTGGGTTCTGAATTTCAGTCCTATTTGGATATTATAAAAATTTGGGTCGGATTCGATTTGGATTTAGTTAGGTTCGGTTCGGATTTAGTAACATGTCCAAGATCCGGATTTAATAATCCAATTCCACTTCAGCTGGCCACTTGGATTTCTTCTTGCTTCCCCGCCATTCATTGTTTATCCAGCAGTTGAACTTTCGGAATAGAATAGGCTCAATGACTTTGCCTGCTTTCTTGCTTGCCCCAAAAGAAAAATCCAGTTCATGTGTGCGTCAGGGATAAATAGATCTATTTCTCTATGAGAGAATTATATTTGGTCCATACACTGTTGTCAATATGATTGTAAATTTTTAAGATAGCGAAAAGAATAGAAAAAATAAATAAAAAAGTTTAACCCCGTGGTTAGTTAGTTCATACAATGAATGAAAACTAAGCCCCAAAATAGTTTCGGTTTCAGATACTAATCAAATACTAATCGGGTTATCGGTTCTAAAAATACTAGTTTATACTCAATTAAACTCATTATATTTTCAATCGTTTTATTAAATTTATGTATTTAGCTTCTACAAACCATATTGTTCTTCTTCAAAATAATATTGTGAAACTCGTCTATCAATCATATAAGATTTGTCATTGAACTATATGTGACAATACTAACATATCATGATTAATGAGAAACCAAAGTCTTGTATGAACGAAAATCATACATAATGAAACATAAAAAAATTAAAATTAATATCTAACAATTCTATAAACATAAGAAGTACTGTTTATACTTAAAAACAACATTATTTAAACTTCAAAAGAATTTTATTCGTAACTTAATTTCAAATGTAATGTCAATCATAAACATTATTAATATTAACCAAATAACACTATATATTAGAAAAATATTTGTGTTAATTATTCATATCATAACTAATTACTGTAGGTGCTCAATAATATATTAATGTGTTTTAGAAACATATTATAAATTTAGATTGGGTATGATACAAGTTTTTGGAGTTTTAAAGTTTCGGGTTCTTTCGGATATCCATTTAAGTTTGGGTTCGGTTTGGATAAAACCTATAACCCGAAATACCGTAAAACAAGATCCATTTGGTACTTATGTCGGGTTCGGGTCGGTTTGGGTTCCTTTTTATCGGATCGAATTCGGTTCGGATTTTTGGGTTCGATTTCTTCGCCCGGCCCTAATCTATTCTAATCTATTGAAATAGAAGTACACATTTAAATTAACCCTTAAACTTGCACAATATTTACAATCTAATGCCACTGAGATTTAAATAAACCTACCTTTAATTAATCATTGTCTTTACCTAATTTATTAAATCAAATTTAGCTAAATTTTTCTTATCAATATATTTCCTAAAATGATTTAGCTAAATTTTGGAAAAAATCAAACTTAAAAATGTAAATATAATACTTCACAAGTATCATATAAACCTTACTTATTTAGTTTATAAGGTTTAAAATATATGTTTTTTAAAAATTTTAAATTATATGTTTAACCATTACCATTAGTTATTTTATATAATAAAATCTATTTATGTTAAGATTTAACTATTTTTAAATTACTTGTATAATAATATGGATTGTTTATAATCGAATATTCATGTTAATATATATATTTTAAATATTTCTAAAATATATTTGTATTTATTCAGTTACAATTAATTATTCTCAGAAATAAATTTATCTATATAAAGTTTTAAATATCATAAAAGTACTTGTAAAATAATATTTAATGTTTATAATGGATTATTTCTTATATGATGTATCTAAATCTTGACATATGACCTATATATAATCAAATATTTAGAATATTATTTAGTTGGGAAACAATTTCATGTTAAAAAAGAAGATATTACTCAAACATATTAATACTTTAATGTTTGTCAAAAATTTAATACAATGTTCGGATCAATATTTGTTTTCAACATGTAAACTATTTCACTGTAATATTTATAAAACATTTAAATATGATACATATTTAAAATATTAACTAAGAAATATTTAAATAATACTTTTATATATAAAAGTGAAAAAAATACTGTACGGAGGTGCGTATTAAACTCTAGGGTACATTCCAACAGCTGGTGGGTTTGTAGAACGAATCAACGGGGGTTTGTTTTTTGTCAACCAATGAGTCTTTATAATTAGTAATAAATGTTGAGGACAGTCGCATTGATAAACAAAAAGTTTCATACAAATCATAAATGGATTGGGCAATGGCTACATCGTAGATGACTGGAAGATCGAACAAACAGCTGGACTTTGAGAATTAAGAGGCTCTAATATCAAGGTCATCAATAAAATTGATTATTAATAGTACTAAGACTATTGATATATAAATTTGTGGAGTAGATATATAAAAGGCCAATATCAAATGGTCATCTATAAAACTCTGTCTATTTCCATTAAGCAAGAGTACAAAAGGCAAATAAAATGGTCCCAAGCTTATCATGTAATCATGTAACACCGTTTCCTATTTTTTGTTCTCAATCCAGATAATCGTTTAAAAATGAAGCTACAGAAAACACATTTCTAGTTTGATCTTATGCCATATGAGTCATCCTTATAATATATTTTTGTTCTCAATCCAGATAGTCGTTTAAAATGAAGCTACAGAAAACACATTTCCAGTTTGAACTTATTTATATATATGAGTCATACTTATAATATTCAAATGAGACGTGATATAAATTAGGTTGACATTTAAAAGAAATTTTTTTGTACAACCTGAAGAAAAATAAATTAGAACTCACCTTTCTTTAATAGACACAAGAGTGGACTGACTAAAAAACACATGTATACCACTATATAATACTCCCTCTTTTTTTTAATAGAAAATGTTTTTAAGAAATTTTTTTATAGTTCGGTGTAAAATTTGTTATATATCTAATGATATTATATAAAATAGAAAGTATAATATCATTAGTTTTTTTTTGTTTCTATATAATACTCCCTCTCTTTTTTAATAGAAAATGTTTTTAAGAAATTTTTTTATAGTTAGGCATAAAATTTGTTATATAACTAATGATATTATATAAAATAGAAAGTATAATATCATTAGTTTTTTTTGTTTAAAAAAAACTAATGATATTATACTTTCTATTTTATTATTAGTTGAGTTGAAGTTATGTAAATAATTAATGATGTTTTATTTAAAAATATTAAAAATTATTATTTTTAACTATGTGTACAATCATAAAATGTCATCTGTTAAAAAATTAAATTGAAGGAGTATCACATATGCATGTATATATATCAGTATGTATTTTGACTATTTTGTGTAACCTTGCTTTTAATTTATCTTGCAATCCAATACCGCGTTATGAGATTTTTGGAACCAGTCACATGACATATATCTCTGTATATCAAAAAGATGAAATCTAATATGGTTTAGTATGATGATCGTTTTTTACCAAAGTAATACTAAATAATATGTTGATTAAATAACGAAAATTGTCTTCTTGGGTGAAAGGAATGTGCAAGAATATGGATTTCATTCGACGAATGTCACAAACAACCCAATGAGAGATGTTACTACTAAGCATCACTAACCATAAAACATAAAATATTATTGAATAATTGTATTAACATTTAAATATAAAAAAAAAACTAAGAAATGTTATTAGAATTTCTATTGTTTGTTGGAGTAATTTGTTTGATGATTTATACTCTTTTCTATTTTAATTGTAAAAAGATATCCTTTATATTGATTTTTTTTTTATATCATGATGGTCTAACTACTAAAATCCCAAAATCGAACTTTCCGAACATGCTAATTTGCAAATTGCTTCTTAATTAAATGACTAAACATAATTACAACTATCCACAAATTCCAAAACTACCCCTCACTCTTCTATCGTACACAACTCAGCCGCGTAACATTTCCTCCTCCGCCCACTACTACTGCTACCACCACCGCCACCACCGTCAACGTTTCTCCCTTTCCTCCTCACCCCACCGGAGCCAACCGTATCATCACTGGAGCCAACTCTAAGACGATATTTATCAGACACAACAATAGGATCAACACACTTCCGGCGACAACTTCCTCCACCACCACCGCTTCTCATGAGCGCAGAGCTAGCTTTAACGGCCAATGCAGCCATCTCATCCGCTTTGAGTGGCTCACGAAGCCAACGAAGAGGAAGAGCGAAGTATATCTGACCTAGCTGAAGCTCCTCCTCGGCGCTAATAGCGGAAACGGCGTCGTCGAAGTCCATATCGTCTGAGTTACAGATAAAACACATGGGATACTTCTGTAAAACGTATCCAACTTTCACGGGGTTCGCAAACTCCATCATCTTCCCGTCTTGTAAAATCAGTTTCGCTGACGCGACTTGTGTCGACTCGATTGAACTGCAGATACCCATATGTAAGTGTTATAATATGATTCTTGGTAACTTGTGACACGTTTTCCGGTGAAGGAAGGGATTATTGAGTGGAGATAATAATGTGGAGAAGTGAAGGGGAGGTTTGTGTTATAAATAGAGTGAGTTTGTGTTATAAAAAAAAATAGGAAGCCACGTAGGACATTGTCGTGTTGTTAGGACCAGAAGAAGAGTGATGACAGGCTGTACAAGTGGTGGAGAGGATGACAGCTTTGTGATGTTTAGATATTACCCACTACTATACTTACCATGTCAGGAACTGAACTTAACTACTATGACTTTCTTCTCTTATTTTTCTCTTGTTCGATTTACGTTTCAATCTTAAAGAGAACTGCTTTCGTGTATATAAAATAGTACCTACTCTACACTATGCTCTAAATGATTTCTAGCACTCTAGTCTTTTAACTTATAGCAGTAACAGTATATATATATATATATATATATATATTTGAAAATGCACTTTAGATATTAATTAATAATTAATTTGGAATAAATCTTCTTTCTGTAAGTAGGAACTAGGGACGCAATATATTTTCTATGAAATATAAAAACAAGAAAAATATTTATATATATATATACACATATATATGGTGTGTTTTACCTACTCTACAAAATCCAGGACAAAACATAGTAGTTGTCAAAAGAAGATAAGACTTATACATCGTAGAACTAAGATATATCGGTCAATCAATTATAAATACGTGTAGTAGCTTTACCAGTGTATATTACTACTGAATATGAACACACTTATTTTTTGTGATTTTGTGATTTATGACTGTATTGTGAACAGATAAATTATCAATCTACTAACTTGATGTAAGCATTATTATTATTTTTTGAACAACTGATGTAAACATTATTTAACATCCTGAAAATGGTGAATCTTTATGATAAAGAATATTGAAGTGGTCACGACTTGAGCTAAATAGAGTAAGTACTTTTTGCGACCATGGTTTTACTTATACCTTGCAAGCAGACTTGTTTGCGGTTTTGGTTTTGGTTTACCAAGTTGCGTAAGGACTACTACTTTACCTTTCTAGTTTCTATGTAGAGGAGAAACATTTACATAATCAAAAGTGAAGGTAGGAAAAATGAAAGAATAATATAATATAATTAAGTAAATAAATATCACGTTGCTGTTTTAAAATGATTTGATTGTCTTGATAGATTCCAGTGATCAGATTAACTTGAGTATGTATATCCACATTAGCAAGAAACAATATAAACATTAATTAACCAATATAATAGACCATTAATGATAAGAAAACAACGTGTATCTATTATATTAAAACAGAAATACAAAACAATATTTGTCTATTTAAAATAATTTTCTTTAGATTTTTATTTTATTTTTAATTAATTTTATTCACTTCATTTATTGTTATTTTTAAATAATCACTTCATTTTTTTTTAAATAATCACGTCATTTATTGTAATTACTTTATTTATTCTCTTGCACTAATATAAAATTTATATAGATTTAGTTTTGATTTATGAAAATCTTAAAATATTAAAAAAACTAATGTATCCGAGATATGTTTGGATTTTTGTACCAAAAATAATCATATTAATCGATCCGGGTATTTTGAATCCAAATTAAAAATAACCAAAAGTAAGCATATTACTCGTTTTGATTCGGGTTCAGTTCTGATGTATAGAACTTAAAAGTATAAAATTAATTATATAATGACATATAAAATATATAAATTTCATTATATATATAAGTTTATAAAACTGTAAAATTTAATATCCGCACGGATGTACGGATCAATCTCTAGTATTCTGTTGAAACAGAAGTACAAAATATGACTTAGATCTGGCGAACAAAGAATCTAGAGGACTCATACGGGAGCCACACGCACAGCATAGCCAGTTAGCATGGATCTTCCCTGAGTGGAGAAATTTCATCGTCGTAGAAGACGAAGAAGGGAGCACACGTCGCAACAGCTGTAGATCTGGGATCTGAGAATACCAAATCAAAGGAGTGCTGGTTTTATGAAACAAATCTGGAGCTAGTGCAGTTAAGAGAGATGTGGAAAGACAGAGAAGGAGCCAAAGGATAAAGTGACAGCACCGGCAACATCTCCAGCAGCTAGCAACGGCGAACGAACATAAGAAACCCAAGCCCACAAAGAACTCGTGAAGAAACATGGTAACATTAAGCGGAAGAGTGACAAAAGAAAAGACGGCGACAGAGAGGCAGTAACGGTTGGTGTTCTCGGTTACAAAAGGAGGAAATAACATGGTGATTTTTGCTCGGCTAACATTTTCGTCGAACCCAAGAGGAGGAAATAAAAGATGTTCTCGTTGGTGGACGTGAGGTCCAACCAACGGTGACGGCGGAAGAAGCAACCCTAATCGTCCATGGTGAGAGAGAAAGAAGAGAAAATCTCAATTGTATAACTTTATACTCCGAGTTTCAAGCATATAATTTATAAATATTCTTTGTTCAAAATTTTTTTTATAAATATTCATAATGCAAATATTTATCTTTACATCATAATACAAATACAGTATAACCTATATAAATTAATACACAATAAATTAATAACCTCTATAAATTAATAAATTTCACCGGTCCCAACTTGGGTCGGTGTAAAATATGACCCAAATGGATAAAATAATAAGTTTATAATATTTTTCAAACTGCCATGTAAATATATGGTCCCTTTAAAATCATAAATTAATAATCTAGTTATATATAATTTTATACAAGTATAATCTAACATTTTATTGTTGGTTTTATATTTACTATAAAAATACTTTTATTTTTTTTTAAATTTCAATATATTTTGATAATATTTAGTTAGGAATTTTATATTTACTATAAAAATACTTTTATTTTTTAAACATTTCAATATATTTTGATAATATTTAGTTAAATTATATCAAAAACCATGTAACAATTCTATGAAACATAAAAATATACACCAAATAAGATAATAAAATAAAATAAAAGTCAAATTTCTAAAATTTAAATAAAGTACATATGCTAAAATCAAATATTTTTTATTTTATAAATAAAAATAGAAAAATCTAAATAAGGAAACTTTCGTAAATTAATATCTCTATAAATTAATAAAATTTCAAAGTCCCAAAATTATTAACTTATAGAGGTTTTACTGTACTTATCTTATTTGTATATTCCAAGTAATTTTTTAAATTAAATATGCATTATTTATAAACATATATAATTAATTAAACTTACAATATAATTCATGAAAATCGTATATAACTATAATAAAGTCATTTGTCGGTTGTTCCTCAAATTTACTAAGTTAATGGATTAAACTATTTTATTTTCATAAATATGAAATTATGTTCATCAAAACTGTAAAATATTAATTAATTTTTCAATATCTTATTTTACGCATATTTTCATATGGAGAATAACTCAATATATATCCAAACATGAATATATGATAAAAATAAGAATAGTATAGTTGGCGGTTCAAGAAAATGACTCAATGTAAACTATAACATTGTTGTATTTAAAAGTGGCATATTAAACAATTATTTAATATGGCTGAATATTAAAAAATAATATACCACTATTTATATAAAATAAATATTAATTTACAAAAAAACAAATTAAAAATCCACTCGAACTTACGGGGCAAATTCTACTACAAACTTACTTTTCGAGTACAAGAGGGGTAAAACGAAGCTTATCGTTAGTTTTCAGGTAGAAACACAAAGCACAAAGCTTATCATATCTTATTAATGTGTGAGGTCGGTGAAAACAAGTTGTATAGATTTTAAACATGTTTTTTGGGGAATTATATAGTAATATTCCCCTCTTAGTTCTCGGTTTTGTTCGTAGTATCTCCTGGAATCAACAATTCAGTAAACTCGTAAAGTAATGATTGGAATGTATTCATACAAAAACTATTCGAATCTGAGCTGATTGACCATTCATGTAAATATCACTGCGCAATCTTGGTCTACTGAACTTCTGTCTCATGTCTCTGATAGGGAGCCACCACCTAGAGTAGGTTAACTTCGTCCCGAAGCATTATTTTTTTTATTTGTCACCAGAAAAGTAATGTTCCATTGTTCGGTTTATATGATATTTGTCGGGTTTGGTTTACGTATAGGTTTAATACCACAAAAGAAGAACAAATTATAGTAATAAAATATTTAAGTTGTCCAAAAGTAATAAAGATATGAATCTGTAGAAGGAGGTGTGGCGCGGTTTAGTGCTGATAGTCCACGGAACATAACTAGGGAGTGAAGGAATAGCAAGAAAGAAGTGTAATGAGAACGACGTGCCTTAATATGATCAGCCACGTGTCACTAGTTGAGCCATAAGAGTGCCACAAGAATCCGACAATTTATTGGAGTTGGCGTAAACTCGTTTAGGTTCCTTGTTGCCTATTGAGTATTGACTTGTCTCGTTACTGTTTTTGCTTGATGACATGATCGTTATGTATGGTTTGGACTTCAGAATCATGTGCACTATATTGTATATATATGTAAATATAGATAGTTAAGGACTCTTATGTAATTAGTCTAGTCCTAAACCCTTCTCTCTATGTGTATAAGTATTTTCCAGAGACTCTAATAAGATTATCACTTTCCATAATCTATATGGTATCAGAGCATACGCTCCTAAACCTAGCAAAAATTTTCTGATCTCAAAAGTTAACCGTCATGAGTTCCTCCACCAACACTACCGAGGTCATCTCCCTCAACACCAACACGCTTTTGCACATCAACATGTCCAATGTTTCGAAACTCACAAGCACCAACTACCTCATGTGGAGTTTACAAGTTCATGCACTGTTGGATGGTTATGCACTTGCCAAGCATCTTGACAGTTCTCAGGTTGCCCCACCACCAACACTAACCACTGGGGATGATGTTACAGAGAATCCAGAGTTCATACGCTGGAATCGTCAAGACAAACTGATTTACAGTGCTCTTTTTGGTGCCATCTCCCCTTCGATCCAACCAACCGTGTCACGCACGACAACTGCATCTCAGATCTGGGAGAAGCTAGCCTCGATATATGCCAAGCCAAGTCGAGGCCACATCAAACAACTCAAAGACCAACTAAAGTATTACACCAAAGGTTCTAAATCCATTGACGAGTATGTTCAAGGTGCCGTCAATAAACTTGATCAACTAGCGATCTTAGGCAAGCCTTATGATCATGAAGACCAAGTTGAAGTGTTACTTGGAGGATTACCTGAAGAGTACAAGACTGTGGTTGAT